TGATCTAGTATACCGCAAAGGAAATGAGTGGATTTAACATTGTTAATGGGAATATTATCAATTTCTATTTTCAATGAATTAGAATTAATACTGAAAAACATATAACTTGTTTTTTTATGTTAAGTGACAATTTGTTGAACTTGGACCAAGTGGATAACTTGTCAAGTTCTTCATTAATTGCCTTTTAATTAAAATTTCAGGGTTATGTGAGAAAAAACACACTTGTATCATCTGCAAATAAGATTTTAGAAAGTTTATCTGAAATACCAGGAGGTCGTTAACATATAAATAACAAGGGACCCAGGATAGAGCCCTGAGGTAAACCACACTGAAGAGCAGAATTCTGAGCAGAACAGTAACTCTGGTCACTACAAAACTTCTGTTGGGATGAAAAGTGCAAACTAGAAGCACAAACAAAAGCCTGAAACTGTGCTCAGTGCTGCAGGACTAAAGCAAACCAAACTTTGAACTGATCAATAAAACTGTGTGAAATAAAAAAAAAAAACAGAAAAACTGCTGCTGAGTATAAAGAAATGCCTGAATTCTCACAAGTAAAACAATATATTCAACATATTTTCATTTCAGAAAGTCAGTTCAGTTAAATCAACTGATTTAATGTGGTTGAAACTCACCAACAGAAAACACACGGAGGACGCTCGTCAGAGTCCAGAGCAGTTGGAGGTTTAAAAACCAAAGGTTCATTTTAAAACCGTTCAGTCTTAAACAGGAGCATCCATCAGGTTCCTGCAGCTGCAGCTGGATGATGAATCCCACAGAGAAGAAAGCCTCGAATGAGGAAGATGAACTCGGTGTAACTCCCTCACACCAACGCTGCTCAGGAAGTTGCTTCACTCTCGTTACATCACCTCACAGTAAACTGGTGACAACAGTTTGACCAAACAAAATGAACATTTATGAGTTTCCCTCGGAGGCAACAGCTCGATAAGAATCTCCTGGTTTTGGTTTCAGCAGAAAAGTGACTTTACTAAGAAGAACATCCGTTCTTTAAAAACTTTATTATGAGTTGTTTCAGATGAGTTTTCTTTAATAAAGCTGCCTCAGAAATAAATAATACACTTTTTTTATGCTGCTACTTCCTTCAGATCAGGGACGACAAACTCAGTTACACAAGAGCCAAAACAAGGAACTTGCTCAATTTTATCAATATTTGTTGAAAAAAGTATTTAAAAATAAATTAACCTGTTTTTTTTAGATGGAATAGGTTAAATTATTCATGTAGAAATGTTTTTTTTCAGTAACATAATGGAATCTAGATCATGTGACGCATATAAAAAGGTTAAATTTAAATTTAAGACTGTAGCACTATCCAACATTTTTCATGCATCGTGCAAAATACACTTTTTAGCTGTTCAATACATTTTGTTGTCTGCAGAAAAGTAAAATTTAGTCTCTCCTGGTGCTGCAAACACATCTTTATTTCCTGTTTGGGTCAGATTTTTCAGCCTGTGAAGTTTTCTCTATTTTCTATGACGTTTTCGTTATGTTAAATTATCTGCGATGGAATTACCAAACAAGGCCTCAGTTCTGGGCTGCAGCCGACGTTAAACACATTGGTCAGAAATCTGGTCACCCACTTTCAAGTGGTTTTACTGTGGTATTTTGTTGCAAATCATTTTTAAAGTTAACCGTGTCCAATACACTTCAGAAAATTCTTAAACAGATAAATATACATCTTATCAACAAGTTTCACTGCAGACTTGTTCAACTGTTTAAGAAAGTTTTAGGTTTAGCTGACGGCCAATGGCCAGCTGCTAATACTGTATGTGAGACAAAGGCAGATTTTTAAATTAAATACTTTTTTATAGCTTAAACAGTTATTAATGAAAAGTTGATATGACTGGTGCAGTTAAACATGTTAACAAGTATATTTGTATCTTTAGTATCTTAACACGTATCTTTATTTTTAAAGATTTTTTCTCTTTATTCTTTAAAATGTAAATGTTTCAAACTGCTGGTTTGAGACTTACTAACTACAATTTCCTCGTCTTCTGGTTCTGGTCAGTCTCTGGTTCTGGTCAGACTCTGGTTCTGGGTCAGACTCTGGTTCTGGTCAGACTCTGGTTCTGGGTCAGACTCTGGTTCTGGTCAGACTCTGGTTCTGGGTCAGACTCTGGTTCTGGGTCAGACTCTGGTTCTGGGTCAGACTCTGGCTCCAACATGTAAAGCTGGGTGGACAAGTCTTCTGTTGCTGACACCTTTGAATTGAATGATAAACAAAATGTTGCAGAAGCTACTGTAGTGATATAGAAATATGCCTAATTCCACACAAATAGTTTCCAGGTGAGAAGTTCCGGTTCTTGAAGTGGGCG